AATGGCGGAGCATTATCCCAACCATAACCCATTCGAGGAGGTGAAGTTTATATCCCCATTTGTTTCATCGAAGCTTTCTGGTGAGACTAGACGTCCCTTATCACCTTCGCTCAAACCAAAACCATGTCCCTCTAGCCATCAAAACGTTGATCTCGATAATGGTTGAGATTCAACGTTGATCCTGCATGATGTAACCTTTGAAAAGGAAAACTTCTATGGCATGGACATGTGCCTTTGTACCACGTGCCCTTACAAGGATTCCAACCATCTCCAGATCCTTGCTTCAAAACTTATGTTTATCACAAATATTACAAATCTCATGGATGCACTGTGGTACTAACCTTGTAGCTTGAACAAAAATGTTCAATGCTTGGTGGTGAAGCTGGGAACTACACCACTATCAATAGCTGTAGGAGAAGTTCCCAAGGTTAAGCTTATGACCATAAACAAAGCACTACCGGGAGATACCCCAGATTATCATAAAAAATATATAACAATGATAATGAAAAAAAGTTTTCTTGCAAGAACATGCTATCAGGTTAGTATGCACCTTCGGGTATTCTTGTCGCTAACCATTTTAGGTTGAGAGTAAGAAGAACGAGAGACATACGATGCACGAGAACATGAGAGCACCATCAACTAAACGTTGTGATGCTCTTTAGTGATGGAACACACTCAAAAGGAGACCCCAAGCCTACACACTTGACTTTTACACAAAAGTCCAAGTGTGGGGGAGGATGGTGAGAATCCAAAGTTCCATACACACCAAAAGACCATCCTGCTTAAAAAAGAGAGATGATGATGTTAGCTCTACCTTGCTATATAAAAAAATTATGATGAAAAAAAGAGGGAATAGATGATAAAAGGAGAGAGAAAAGAAAAATGTTGTAAAAAGAAAAAGGAAAAAAGGAGAGAAAAGGAGCCATAAGACAAGCGCTCCTATTCTAGACCTTTGCTCCTACCACCAAGGCCCATGGTCTATGCACACTATTTGTGTGTATGACCTAGCCTTGTTATTTGCCTGAGATGGACCATGTGTGATCAAGCCACCGCTATAGCAATTTCAACACATCATTCACATATGCTGCCGATAAGTACACTCAGGTATGCAAAGGTAAATAAATGTTCACCAAACTCTTCTACTCATATTTGTTTTCATAAGAATACATCTTGCTCATACAAGTTTATGCTTCTCTTGTTTATGATATATGCTCTAGTGTGGGTGTATTCTATTGGTACACTCATAGGTTTTTAAAATTAAGCATGGTGCTTAGGTTAAAATTGCCTTCTTTATTCAAACTTAGACATGGTGTTTAAATTCGATTAATGAACTTTGGAGTATTATTTTCATAAACAATAGAAGTAATCTCATATAGAAATGAATCAAGGCTATGTTTATTTTGCAAACTTTGCATTAGCCTTGCTTGAGTATACAAAATCTAGTGAATAAATAAATAAATAAAAATAAAATAAAATAGATTAATAGATAATAATACTAATAATAATAATATAATAATAATAATAAGATTTAGGCTCTCCGGTGTTCAAACCAGCAGAGCCCTTGTTTGTTTCCACTTTGTTTCTTCTTGTTTGAATAAACAAGTACAAGAATAAGTGTGGGGGAGACAATCCACACAAGCTTTCTAAACATCCCCCACAAATGATGCACATCAGATCAACAGTTCCAAGCTCGGTTTGTGCATCCTCTCTCCCTACAATCTTGAGTTTAAAACAAATATAATCTTGATTACTAGAATTAAACTCAATAAACCAACTATGCCTCCGTAAAATTTTACAAACCACACTTCATTTTAAATTTTAAAAAGTGACATGTGTATAACATGTTTAAGATAGAAGCTTGCATAAAGTTTGTTCCATATACATACACTTATACTTGTGGGAAAATATTCTAATAGTACAATCATGTTGACTAAGTTGTTGTGAGGTGTGATATAGTTTTGACTTAGAGATCCTACCATTTCTACTCAAAGTGCTTGGAGAATTTGTTTTGATAAAAATGTTATAAAACCATAGTATCACATACTCCTTAATTGGTGAGCAATACCTACTAAAGCCAAACATAACATCTAGCAAGTTTTCAAGCCTTCCACATAAGCTGCTTGTTATTGTCCCAAGATCAAGATCACATACACCCACATATACATGCTGCTCCTACACTAGGAGTACACAAAAACATGCCTCCATCCACCAAAAATTCTGCTCCTACACTAGGAGTAGACAAAAATATGTTTCTTAGGCAAATACTCTATGTTCTAAAAAGATAAAGATCTCTCTCTAAATATGTGGTTTAGAAGAAGAAACACAGGCTATGCAAAAAGCTTAAAAAATGTGGACACATGAAGGTCCAAATATAAAAAAAAATATGGACACATGAAGGTCCAAGTACAAAAGAAAAATGATGAGCACATAAAGGCTCATGTATTGAAAAAAGAGAGAGAGAAAGATAGCCATGTTTCAAAACAATAAGTTATAGAGAGACATCATGTCTACAAAAGGAGTATAGTTTTAGTTTATGTATTTCCACACACATGCACATCTTGATCTAAGAATATGGCACTTCTCTTCTTGGATCCTCGATTTGACTTTACAACATATGCAATACAAATATGACTCAAGCCTTGTATAAATAGAGGGGCAAACCCTCCCTCTCACAACATAACACACAAGGAAGAACACTCCACTTTTAAGCAACACTATAAGGGCTTAGGCCCTAGTAGCTAGCTAGAGTTGTAAGGGAGAGATGTGAGGAAGAGCTTGGGGAAGCGCTAGACTTGTCGATGTCTCCCCAACTTGTACCTTGACAAGCATCTTTACTTCAATGGGTTCTCCTGCTAAGTGAGTGTTCGAGGTTCTTTTGGCTACAAGTCTTTTGATTAGTTGATCTTTACTCATACTTGTTTGTGGGTTCGTCATCTGTCCCCATGGCGGATACTCTAGTATAGGGCCCGGATAAAGACGGGTAACCCTGCGCTCGCTAGAGTAGTAATCGATAGCATAGACGTGGTGTCTAGGCTAGAGGTGACCTTCGCTTGCATCATACTCCATGGTTTGAGGGGTAGGCGGCAGGTGGTGATAGCCCTGTCCGTCTCTTGTAATTCCCCACGTCCGTGTACAACATAGAGCTATAGGTCAGGCTCACTTGATAGTCCAGGTGCTACGCGGTGCCCAAAGTAAGCAAGTAAAAGTAGAGTTTATCTATCTTTAGACTCGAAACCATAGGAATCCATCTCTACCCTTTCCAACTTGTCCCCTATGTTGTCCTTGGATGAACTAGCTAGAATAAGTACCTCCATTCCCTATGGAAAATATGATAACCTGAATACTTCCGGGTGAAAGGTACAACGGTAATTCTGTGAACTTGCTGAATCTTTTTGTTTGCATTAAGAAATACCAACAAGCTTTCTGGCAGAGAGCTTGTTGGCGATCCTTGCAAACTTAAGTACATATGCATTTACTATTGACCTAGTTCCACATGTATTTGGAGATCATTGTTTTGCAGGACATAAACACAAATACATGGAGAAATTCATGGAAAGAAGCTTTCCGACGCAGATATGCGCGAAGGATAAATAGAAAGGCCCATCAACTTAAGTTATCCTGTAAAAGTACCAACCAAGGAGTAGCCCAAGAGCAATCACCAACCCACCACGTGAAGGCAGAGGCAGAGGTGGAGGCGAGAGGGCTAGGCCAGGGATCGGCCTACCACAGGGGGTGGCCGACCCCCCTCCGGCACCTCTGTGCTGCTCCTTCATATGGCGGTCACATAGCGACATGCAGAGGCGGTGGAGTCCAGGCTTCACACTAAATATAGCTTCTACACTGCCTCAAGCCTTGTATAAATAGAGGGGCAACCCCTCCCTCTCACAACACAACACACAAGGAAGAGCACTCCACTTTTAGACAACACTCTAAGGGCTTAGGCTCTAGTAGCTAGCTAGAGTTGTAAGGGAGAGAAGTGAGGAGGAGCTCGGGGAAACACCGGACATATTGGTGTCTCCCCAACTTGTACCTCGATGAGCATCTTTATTTCAACGGGTTCTCCCGCTAAGTGAGTGTTTGTGGTTCTTTTGGCTACAAGTCTTTTGATTAGTTAATCTTTAGTCATACTTGTTTGCAGGTTTGTCGTCCATCCCCATGGCGGATACTCTAGTAGAGGGCCCTGATAAAGACGGAAAACCCTGCACGCTAGAGTAGTAATCGATAGCATAGACGTGGTGTCTAGTTTGGAGGTTACCTTCATTTGCATCGTACTCTATGGTTGAGGGGTAGGCGACAGGTGTTGACAACCCTATTTGTCCCTTATAATCCCCCACGTCCAGGTACGGCGTAGAGCTACAGGCTAGGCTCACTTGGCAGACTAGGTGCTACCCGGTGCCCAAAGTAAGCAAGTGAAAGTAGAGTTTATCTGTCTTTAGACTCTAAAGCCATAAAAATCCATCTCTACCCTTTCCAACTTTACCCTTGTGTTGTCCTTGGATGAACTAGCCAGAAGAAGTACCTCCATTCCCTGTGGAAAATATGAAACCCAGAATACTTCCGGGTGAAAGCTACAACGGTAATTCCGTGCGCTTGCGAAATCTTTCTGTTTGTGTTAAGAAATTCCAACAGTCCCCTTGGTGGTGCAGTCCGAGGCCATGGCCAGCACTGTAGCCCATGTGTTCCATTATCGGTGAACCGCTAAGTTGTTCACAGCGGTTGTCGTCCACACCGTTGGACAGGATGCAGTGTTCTTGGTGTGACCACCCTCTCCTTTGTAGGTTTTTGGTTGAAAATTAGCTAGTGCATACTACTCAACATTTTATATATGTTGGCTTATGCTTCATTTCGTATTGTGGTTTCGTGCCTTTTAGTAAAACACCACCAATCGTACCTTACCATCATACATTACTGGTCAGAGCACCAATTTTGGCAAAATCACTCCTATCCGCCAATACATTTGGTACTTATCTAAAAAAAATGCTTGCATGTTGCCTCTTCAGGTTAATCTTCTGAAAACCAAGTTTGGCTTGGACGATGCCTTCAACTACAAGAAAGAGCAGAACCTCAACGCAGCACTGCAGAGGTTTTACATTCCTGCCCCCTCTTTATCTAACATGAAGACTAACAATGCAGAAAAATTGAACTTGCGTGATCTTTCAATAGAGTGTTTCACTTTCCAAATCCAAATTGCAGTTTCCCGTTTGAAAAAGCAGGCTCAAAAACACTTTGTTATACCATCTTGCTTAGGTACTTTCCAGAGGGCATCGACATCTACTTTGAGAACGTAGGTGGCGCAATGCTGGACGCCGTGCTACTCAACATGCGTGTGCACGGCCGCATCGTCATGTGCGGGATGATCTCTCAGTACAACTCGGAGCAGCCGGAGGGTGTGCGTGGCCTCAGTAGCTTGATCGTCAAGCGTATCCGCATGGACGGCTTTGTGGCCTCGGACTACTTTGTCAAGTACCCCATGTTCGAGGAGGAGATGGTGGGGTACCTCAAGGATGGCAAGATTGCCTACGTCGAGGATGTCGTCGAAGGGATTGAGAAGGCACCAGCAGCGCTCATTGGGCTCTTCAACGGGCGCAATGTTGGCAAGCAACTGGTCATCGTTGCCCGGGAGTGATGTTGCCCCGGGAATCTTTAGTTTTATTGTGATGTGTTTTGGATCCAAGTGAGCTTAGATTTCAGTAAGAGAATAGCTGTGACTCGGCAGTTGCTATATACTCCATTCGTCCCAAATAATAAATCAAGACTAGAGTTATCCAAAGTTCAAATATTTGAAGTTCGACCGGATTTATAGAAAAGAGTATCAATATTTATTGTATCAAAATAGTATCATTAGATAAATCATAAAATATATTTTTATAGTGTACTTGTTTAGTATTATAGATGTTGGTACTCTACTCTATAGAATTGATTAAATTTAGAATAGTTTCACTTAGGACAACTTTAGAAATTTATTTATTTTAGGACTAAGGGAGTATTCCACAAAGTTAGGTCAAGCAATTTTTATAGAAAAAAATGGAAACTAATCATGTTATTACATTATTACGAGCGTGTTTGGACGTGAGAATCGTTTTCGTTTCAAACATGGAACGCCTGGATCAGTGCCAAACGTCTCCTTGCCAATCCATTTTGAGGCAGAAACGATTGGAAGTGATTCTTGATTTTTGCCAATGCAGGTGAAACACCAAAAACCTAATTTTTCATGTTTCGTTTCTCGCCTCTCCTCTAAACTTAGGGTGCGTTTGGCAGGGATCTAGATTCTCGTAGAAACGTTTTGGATCTAGATTATCTGAAGAAACGTTTCAGACGATGAATCAGAATCACTTTGTGAGATCGTTTGGCTAGTAGGCTAGATTCTGATTCAAAGAAATGTTTTTCCATAAAAAATCATATAAATAAAAGTATTCTTTAAAATCAGGACTTTTTGTGGACCAGGAACAACTTAAATATAACCCATTTTAACTTATTACACTTAAATATATTAACTGAAAAAGTTAGACTTGTAATATAGAGAGGAGCCAAGAAACAAAATCATGTGAAACTACTCTGCGGCTGTTTCTGGTTTGCAGACATCAAAAGTAGAATCATTTCACGTGATTCTTTGGTGAACTGTTTCTCCATCTACCCGTTTGGCAGAGATTCCGGTGTTTCACACTAGAAACGAAATGGTTCCGGGCCGCCAAACAGACCATTAACAATTGTATTTTTTCAATTAATCCTTTTAAGTGGGACAAGTTAAAATAAATTGTATTTAAGTTAGTCTTCATCCACAAAAGGTTCTGAATTTTTTAAAGTATATTTTTATTTATATGTATGTTTTTAAAATATTTTTTTCTTGAAATTAGAATCTAGCCTACTAGATAATAATTTAAGAGAATTTAAATCTAAAATGTTTTTACCAGAATCTAGATCGTACCAAATACACTGTGCATATGGTGCAAATCTCTTGGGATTGTCGACATGTCATGCGGATCCCTTCTAGCAGGGCTCATGCGGCAGTTCGCATAACACCGCGAGCTGCTATGGGCTCATGCGTCCAGTGCTGAAAGTACCGGCGGCACCGTTTTTTTCAGTTGGCGTGGTGGCTTGTTTATTTTTTAGAATTACACAGGAGTACATAGATGCTCACAATATGCACGCACAATTATTCTTATAAACACACATACGTAAACCCAACCCCTATGAGCACCTCCGAAGGACTGAGCCAACAGATTTCGAGATTCATAAAATCGCCACAGGCGTCTCGCTGTCGACGGGGACGTCGCCTATCACTGAAAGCTTAGCGCCATTAAATCCTGTAATAAATCCAGGAAAATATGAGTACCCGTGCCAAGTCGAGGACTTGAACCCGGGTAGACAGATTCCACACCACAAAGAACTCAACTAGCTAATCTATGATCAGTTCGCAACGTGGTGGCTTGTTGATATGATGGATCGTTTGAAGCTAGACAAAATAATCGAAGTAGCGAACAACACTGTGTAGTGACCGTCGAAGTAGTCGACCACACCGTGTAGTTAGGGATGAAAACGGTCAGAAACATCGGAAAACATCTCAACCGTTTTCTACTTTTACATTTAAATACGAAAACGAAAACGAAAGCGGTAACCCAGACACGAAAACGAACACTAACTTATGGAATATCGGAAATTTCGAAAATGAACTAATTCGAACGGAATTATGTCGAACGCGGTCGGTATACAAAAAATCAATACAGAATATTGACCGTAGGACCAAGTGCATAACAACTAACAACTGAATAATAATTAACAAGTCCTACAACTTTCTTAAAAATTATCTCCATTCGATGCCATATAAGGAAGATATGATTTTTCTAAGGCAATAAGTGTTTGTACTCGATTTAATATACTGCTAAAATTTTGTTTAATTTTTTCGAACATCTTAAACATCTCAAATGAAAAAACTAAAAACTAGAAAGTTGTAGATCTTGTCGTGAGCTACAATTTTCATATAAAACTCATCTTCAGCCGAGACTGTATGAAAAAGATACAATTTTTCTAAGGTTTGACTTCTAGTGCGCCAAATTTGATTGAAACCGAATTTCGAAACCGAATTTCGAATTCAGCATATTTCGAATTAAAAGTAGAAAAGTAGAAAACTCTTGAAAAAATGTCTAAACCGTTTTTGTTCTGATTTCGAATTTGGTGTTCCGAATTTCGAACTGAATTCGAATTTGTCCAAAAATACAAATTCGATCAGATTAAATATAGAAAACGATACGGTTTGGTACGGGATATTTTCATAACGTTTTGATCCCTACGTGTAGTAGACGCCAAAGTAGACGATTATGCCATGATAAAGGAGCGAGCAATCACGCTGGCTGCTCCCAAAAACCTTTTATCCATGCACCCATGGTGGGAAACTTGAGGAGCAGAGGCAACAGAGATTAGAGGGAGGGCACCACGCTAGGAGATCGAAGACGGGGATGTTGGGACACCAATAGTTTAGTCGCGGAGATTAACTGCCGTCTTAACCGAAAAAGACTAAAGTTCGTGAATTGCGTGAGCGGTGATCTGCAGGGATTTAGGAGAGCCTTCGCCCAGACCTCCCCAGGCTAGCGAAGACGCGAAGGCTATCGGAGGCGTCAGCTTGACACGGCTTGCAGGACGAAGGCACCAAGGCGATGGAGAGGACCCCTGTAGGAAACACGGATCTGGAGCGAGGCGAAGGCAGAGGCAGCCGGTTAGAGAAGGAGTCCCCACGGCGCAGGATCTCGAGCCAAAGGTGGGCCTCCAATGAGACTGCCATTAAGGCTCATGAAGCAAAGACGGTGGAGGCAGAGAAGACCCGTGGTGTCCCTGGTAGATTGAACTTGTACAAGAATATTCATAAGGATATGCCTTAGTTGTCGAGGGGTAGAGCGTAAAGTAACATCCCAGTAAATAGTGCTCTATAAAAGGGGGAACCAAGCCCCATGTAAAGGGTTGGTTGGTGAGTGCATCTATGAAACCCTAATTGTCTTGGTCCCACTTGAGTCCCCTCATTCAGCTTCCAGCCTTCACCCGGGCGGAGGCTCCGCCCCACCACCTCCTGCTGGGAATCATTTCCCAACATTGGCGCCCACCGCGTGTAGGCCAAGCAAAACCCATGATGGCTAGGAAAAGAGCAGACTCCGCCAGTGCGCCGGCGGAGACTTCAACCAAGGGAAGGCCTAAGCGTACTACTCGCAGTACGTACACAAGTGCTACCAACACTTAGGTCAACACAAAAGAGCCTACAACAAATGATCAGCCCATAGCCGGTGAAGACCATCCAAATCCAGACCCCACCCCAGAGCAGGTGGTCCAACAACTGCATGCCTAGCTGCAGAATGCGCAGCAAGAAAGAGATAGGCTAGCAGCAACCTTCGCTACAAATCAAAGGGCAGTACAAGCATCACTGCGAGCAGCTGAAATTAGACAAGAAATAGACATTATACAAGCTGAGATACAGAGTTTGCAAACAAGTCAACCGCAATCGGGCAACTCCAATCAACCCCACCAAGCAGCTTAGAGCCAATCCAACCCTTCGCCAAGCCCTGCCACCCAGCCAACCTTCGGCACGCCATACGCTCTACCCCCAATCCACAGAGCCATAGATTCAAAGTCACCACTATCAGAGGGACTTCAAAGCTCCCCATGGCCCCCTCCTACAAACCAATCACCCTCCCTAAGTTCAATGAAAAGTCAAACCCGCGTTAGTTCGTCATGAGCTTCGAGGCAGTAATAGACTCCGTAGGAGGGAATGAATCAGTTATGGCCAAATCTTTTGTCATTGCTACCGAAGGCGACGCCTTGTCATGGTACTCGATGCTGAGACCAAGTTCCATCTATTCTTGGGAGGACCACCGCAACAAAATCATGACTAACTTCAAAGGGTTCACAAGTGAGTCCCTAACCTCAATGGATCTATTCTAGTGCTGGCAGAACCAAGGTGAAACCTTGAGGGAATACTTCCAAAAGTTCGTACAACTCAAGGCCAAGGCACCCAATGTCCTAGAAGATGTAGCAATTGAAGCAGCAATCAAAGGCCTCCGAATTGGGGCCTTCGCAACTCATCAAGCTAGAGAAAAGCCGAAAACCATTGAAGAACTGTACAATGAGTTTGAGAAATACTGCAAGTCTGATTGTGACCTACACAGAAGATTGGAAGAGCAGAACCAATATAAGCAATTTTAGAGCAGTAGCAGAATGCTCAAAGGGGTAACAGAAACCAAGCTCAGTAGCAGTCACAACAAGAGCCTGATCAGTAGGTCTTTAACATAGACCACCAAGGAAGCAGTCAATAGGCATAGCAAGCACCGAAGGCCGACCAAAGAAATGGGTCACAAAGACAGCAAGACAACAGAAGATACAATCAAGAAAGGAACCAGGACAAGAATCAAAACCCAAGGCAATGAAGACAATATTGTTTCTTTTATGGAGAAAACAAAGGCCATATCACCAAGGATTGTCCAGATGCTAAGGAAACCCAGGAAAGGATAAAGGGCGGAGAAAACCCGAAGCCTCTGCCACAGCAACCAGCAAGAGAGGTGAACCATGCCTTCGCCACACCATACCAGCTACAGCAATACTGCCCAATGTACCCAAGCATAAACTCCACACAAATACACCGATTCA